GACTCACTTTGATACTAAGAGAAATTGGGGGATCTTGAGAGTTTACAGAATTTTTTAAACATTCAATACAGTATTATTATTTTATATTGTGCCGTACGTCAGTTTCTTGTTCCTGAACAATGATTCAATTCAATTATTCGAAAAGTATTCATATTTTCTTTGTTATTATGGAGATACACAGTGTATTGTCATTGTCTTTTGTACCACAGATGCATACACAGAACTCAAAGCAACAATCTTTAGCATAGATCAGCACCTAAATCGGTATTGCTACTGAGTGGGCATTTAATTCAGAAAGAAATAGACTTTCTAGTGGCTTCAAATGTGCTGCCACGATAAAATACTGTTTTGCTGGTGTTAATATCAACCATTCAAGGTGTAGGTGAATGCAGAGCTGGATTTCCTTCTAGCAAAATTAGGCTTGGGACTTCCATCCTCGTGCTCGGTTTTTTAAAATAAATATTAAAAACTTCATAAAATGTTTTTATTTGAATAAGCAATCATTAATCAAATAGTTTACTGAACAACAATGTTTAATTTTAAAAACAAATTGAATGGAACAATAAGAAACAAAACATGTATTTGTAAATGATAAATGTAAAAAGCACTATCTACTTTGAAAGCAATTTGTGAATCTATATTGGAACAATCCAATCTTTAATCTGTATTGGAATAATTATTTAATGATTTATTCTATCATAATTAGTGTTTTTTGGATTTATTCATAATTAGTTTTAAAGATTTTTCTGAAGGAGTGTCCAGTATAGTTTTGTGCTTGAAGGCCTATAGTATTTAAATCCGCTTGGAGAAATTTAATAATTACATTAGTAATTAATAATTATATTTTATTGAAATTGTTACAGGAATGATATATTCAGCCTTTGGTAGATTTAGTATTTTAATAGAAACTCCTTTTCTCTTCAGCACTATGTTTTATGTAATTGTTTGCATTTTCTGACCAATAATAATGCATTTTGAATGGTACTCATATCTTATTTTCAAAACATTTAAACCTTTTTTTATTTTGAGTGCAACATCACAACAAACGATTACAAAAGACTATGCCACTTAGAAATCTCTTTTGAAGATTTTATCTCCAACAATGGTATAATTTTATTACAGAAGGTCTCAATATTACAGCTCTCAGAATTATCTGATGCAGTATTTTCATTTTATTAGCTTTACCTTGATATGTACCACACACAATAATTTGCATCTAAATCAATATCATAACACGATATAAAAGTATACGGAAAACCATAGTTTCTATGAATTATATAACCGCACCGCTGGAAATAATACGGCACATTGTAATTGCAAAAATAGTTCTAAACTTTCAATCAAAACTATTAAAACATTAAAAATTGATCTTGCAGTTTAATTAAGCAAAAATAAAATAGAGGAACAGAAAAAAGCAAAAACATATGTGATAAGGATACAAAGGAGCAGTAGAAGTCAATGATTACGATTTCTGTCAAGTTAAATATAAAGTTTTATACAATGTTGGAGAGAACCCAACTTTTGATCATGTTGTTAAGCAATCGAATAATTTAAGGTTTGTCCGACCATTGGTTCAGGTAATTCAGGTAATAAAAATTAGAGAGAAACAAACATTGAAAAAATATTTGAAAACTTTTTATTACCTCACTGCTCTCGTGATATTGGGGGAATTATTTCGTTATCTCTGAAATTCCGCTTTGGAAATAAACCTTCATCCAATTTGCTCAGATTGTGAGATTTACCGCGAGTCGACCAGGCAACGAACAGTATTCAAAGTGATTCAAAACAATGAAACTGAAGAAGCGTGAGCCCTGAGCAGTCATGCCAATCTCAAGGACATTATGGGGTTGCCCAATTTATTGAGGACTTTTCGCCTCACTCTGACATAATTTTTGTCATTATTAGCAATTACTGCACACAAATATCTAGATATGTGTCTATGATGTAACGTTTTATGATTTTCCTCTTACTAATTGTGTAATAGTGCTTTTTTATGTTCAATCTTATTCTTCAAGTTTTTATTCCGTGGCCACGCGATCTGTTGGTACTAGTCAACGATAGCTATGTATGTGGTATTAAAATGTTTTTATTTTACATCTATTAAACTAAATTAATTCGAATAATTAAATAAAACTCAACATAAATGTCCTATTTGGTTTTTGTAGATCCCACAATACCCACTTACCTCGCAAATAATTATTTTTGAACGTAATATGGACTCTCTATCTACTAGGGAATATCTCACTAACCACCTCAATATCTGTGGGACAGAATGCGACTTGCCAATCACCTATTAATGGGTGACCTACCGATCACAGGCGAAATGCGCATGGATATTCGTTGAATGGAATTTTCTACCTCGTGTTCATTGGGAGAAAAAAATATTTTTTTAATCTCTCCTACAGACCCTAGACGTTTGTAACATTAAGTATTCTGAGACACCTGTAAATTAGTAGGTAAATGTATAATTAGAGAAGGGTATTAATTAAATGAATATATTTATTACATTAAAATCAATATTTGTCTGAGTATCTTTAAAATCCTCGACGGTGTTGTGAATGGTTTTTAGCATTATCTCTTAAGCTAAATTCAATGTAAGCTGACACCATTTGTTCGTTGTAGTGAAAAAGAATGTGTATCAAGGGTGTGATATGATACTTACTGTGTCAAAGAATTCAGTAAATTTGGAAAAATAATACCACCAGCAGGCGTGCACCATCTGCAAAATTGAAAGAAATACAGTCAGCGGTGGCTCGTGGCTTCAAAAGTTAGTGGTTCATCACATAAAGGTGGGTTGTTCACACAAAGGTGGCAGGGTAGCCCAATTGCGTCCGTCAACGTACCCAATAACACGTGAGGGTCTCAATTCTCTCTTCTGCGTAGCCAACACAAGTGAGAAACTCCCTCAATATCTTCACGGGCCGGTGGCGCCCTTCCAGTCACGAACACCAAGCTTAAGTTGTTTCAAAGTATACATATTTATACCGTAGCGCAGCTCAACCCGTATTTTGGCTAGATAGCGATCCTGGTGAAGACCAAGTAAAATTACGGATAGCTGCTACTGACTTATACGAATTCGTTTGCGAAATTGCGAATATTAAGAGCTGGTTAAAAACTTATTAAATAATTCGTATTATTTCTTGACCTCGTGGTTTTATTTCCGTATACATTTTATTAAACCGTACGAAACAAAACATTGATTAAATTAATTGTAGAATCATATCGATCATATCAAAAACATCTGTTATGAATTTTTGAACATGAACAATGAACTTTGCCCTTTTTATGACATTTATTGGGTTGACATTGATATTTACATTTTTTCTAACTCGCGGAGTTGAAATTCTATTTGAGATATATTTGTTCTTTCTTCGCCAGTTAATATATTTGGCAACTGCATCGAGTGACATAGTCTGCTTGAGGACTAAAAAGCTGCAGTACATATTCTTGTCATTTCATTGAAATTAGTTTTAGGAATTCTCTACCAATAACTTCGTGCACCTAAACCATGTAAATGTCACCGTTAACATTCTGTGGACACAATAATTTCATGTCTGTCTTGAAATTAATGCTGAAGTTCCTATAGTGTAAGCTTTAGATTCTTCTCAATATAGTCGATAATTAATTCACGATGTTCTTCCGTAATTTCCCCTCTGCTTCCACGCCCTTGCTTGCATTCTTTTTGGTCTTCACCCACCCGAATGCACAAGATTTTTGCTCCAAAAGAATCCGCCAGACCTCTCCAATATCTATTACTATTGATACTTTTGCAGTTTGATGCAGTAACCAGAAAACGAAGATATAACCTGGTTTTGTCAACTAAAACAATCGCCTGTTTACAACTAGTTTTGAAGTTTTGGCCTTGATATAAAATTATACGCGTCTATGCGAGTGTGATTTGACTATGTGAACCATTTTGTTCCCAATATCAGGGCGTTTGTTGGCTCCCAATTTTAGGGTCTTTGTTCTCGATTTGAATGCGATTGCCTCATTTTGAAGTTTAAAAAGTATAAACAGTATAGAAGTACTTTTTCGTCCTCGTGATTACACTATTCACTTTCGATGGACAACATTGATTAGATTTAAATAATTTCTTTCCTGAAAATTTGTTCCAAACTTCTACTTCACATATTGTTTTTGATACATTCATAAGGAATAAACTGTATACATAAAACATTACTTTTCGGATAGATTTAGAAGAACGATGCTGAATTACGAATTGTAAGGCGGCCTAGTAATCCTTGATCGCCGCACGGATCGCTGGAATCGCAGACCAACATGTCGTCATAGACTATTTAACAAGGAGCTGCGCTATTGTATAAATAAGTATACTTCTGTTTTTCTTACATTTTTGAACAATGAAAAATGACTTTCTAATTATTGAAACGTGAAAAATTTTTTAAACGGTTACTTTCAACGTATAGGATTTTCAGTAAATGCACGAAAATTGTGATATGACTCACGTGGAAAATGAAACGAATGCATATCGTATATAACTAAATATAAACAACCAACGTTTTCATTGTAGGATAAACTTACTATAAATAATAACAGCCACTGACAATAATGCAAGTGTAGCATTGAGGATGATGGGTTTCTATTTCTAATTGCAGTCTAATCTACTTGATTAGAATTTCAGAAATTAAAATTATAAAAGAGGCCAAACGTTCCTCTGTTTTATTTATTTATCGTTTAGTTTATTTATTTATCTTCACGTGACTTTTGAGAGACTGAAAATCTAGTTTTGGTAGTTTGGTTTTAGGAAAGCAACGGACTATATAAGCAAATGCTCAGTGGACGGAAGAAAAATCCAACAGATGGGAGCCATCTTATTACACTAGTACAGGTATCTTCAGTCTTTCAGAATTATATAATTCTGAATTTTACAGTAGCTGATGCCCTCGCAATCTTCACATTCAGTTTTTGATATTAAGGCAAGAAGTGTATTGAACGAATGATTTTAAATATTAACTTCCAAGTGAGAATGAACATGTACTTACCCTTAATGTTTTGGGATGGTTCGAGTAATCCACAGGCTGACACCGAAAGTTATAATGTCCTGTCACCCATCCTGACATACTGATCTGTGAAAATAGAAGATGATAATTAGAAATATTTTCAGTAAAAATATATATTTTCCTTTTTCTCCTGAATTGAACTTCAGAGGAGATAAGACGTTCCTGCAGTCGTATACCCTTTTAAAGAAAAGCATGAGGATTTTTTTAAAACAAAGTGTAATTTCTTTATTATTAAATGGTAATCCTTAAATGAAAAATTTCAAATGGTACATTTTTAGTGTTGAAAGGTTGTGTAATTAACAGAAGGGTTCCATTATTTCTTTAAAATTTGCGATACATTGTTGATATTTCAAAGAGGTAAACAATTTTAGAGAATGTTTATGGTTTTTAAAGGATTTTTAACAGTTTTTAATATTATGAATTCACAATATTAATGAATATTGTGAACAACTGCTTACCACTACTGTGGATTTAAAAGTTCACCTTTTTTTATGAATGTTTATTTTTTTACATTTTAGTACACGTCTTCAATTGTTTTTTAATGTCTATTTGAGCAATAATTTTTTATATTTTTTGATTTTTAAATTTTATAATTATTTTGAACATGAATTAGATTAGATAGCTCGGAATCACCAGTATTGCTGCGTATTTATAGATTTATTATTTATATATTAAGAGACTGACACAGGCCTCATTTTTGTTGAAATCACTTTTTTTGGAAAATTGAAGTATTTAAAAAATGCAATATTTTTTGGCGTCTTCCTACAACTATTATATTGAAGATAAATATTTTGTTCTTATTAACATCTATTCTTTCAAATCAGATCTTGAAATAGGAACATATACAATTTCTCAAAAATGTCAGTAGTTATCACGTAATTTTATCTGGAATATATGCAATTTTTAAAACTGCTTTTAGTAATAAACGGCTCCACTTTTTTCTTTTCTCGTATGTATCAAAGGATGGTAAAAATATTGGCGCTAGGCATTTTGACACCAAATCGAAAATAGATTTTTACCCTAAACCAAATCTGGTTTAAAGTATTATCTCTTTGAAAAGGCCATGTACAATTTTTCAGAAAAAATGATTTTGCGTAATAGCGCTTAAAATTTATGCACTTTATGAAAACATTTTCTCAAAATACGCTCGAAATATTTTATTCAAGCTTTTTTTGGCGGAGAGGAGAAGGAACGCATAATGCGGCGAATGCCGGGGAAGCAGGCTAAAAAATGGTCACGAACCGCGCGATATTTCATTGCTCTTCCTCATTCTATCCTCACCCCTACACACACACTTACATGCATTACACTACCACACATTTCTGGAGCTTAGAGCTTGCTCTGGTGGGCCATGCTGGAGGGAAATCCCCCACTAACCGCCAAAGGTCGGTGCCGGAACTTCCCACTCATCGGGAGATCACTGCCAGCTTCCACGTTAAAAACATGCACTGCATTTACGGCACTAATAATCTTAGCAATTATTGCGCCGGGAATCGCTAAATCTATCCAGTTTGTAGGGGTATCAGCTGTCACTGTCTAGTATGTTGTGAATGATCGCACTAAGCACGTGACAATCGTCACGCACATCTGTGTTCTCGAGGGAGTACGGAAGAGTTTCTAAAAGGCCGGCAAAACTGGGCAGAATCAGTGAAATTTCGCACACGAGAAGACAACAATTTCAAATGTAGAGAGCGCGCCACGAGCAAGGGAGAGGGGTAGCCTCTTTTCATCAGCCGCGCGAACGACGATCGAACGGCGGCTGCAGACCCCGAAGGCCGAAGAGCCGCGCGCGAACGCTGAATTCAGCGAAAGAGTTCTTTTGGCGACAGTAACATCTCCTGTGGAGTGAAATTCTGTTGGCCAGCGTAACACCCTGCGTCTCGACTGTAATTAAAAATACGTTACTATTTGACAGACATTTCACCGCCGCTAAGATACGATGTTACGCGTGCAAATTCACTCTTTGAAATTTGAGCGACCCTCACCATTTCTGCACGAGTGAAGTTCGCGAACTAATTTGGAAAGATGTTCATCCGAATTGCGACATGCAGCAATCGCCGCTGCCATCAACTGGCTGCGAGTGAGATGCATCACTGTTCGCTCGGACAGCCGATATGCGCCTTTTGCCAGCTGGGGATCCCACGCCACGGCCGATGCGTCTACTCAACTCCTGGCAACGATGAACGAGGAAACAATTTAAAACAATAGCGTACGAAAGAGACAATGTTAAAGTAACAATTCAACATTAAATGTCATTTGCATACTTGCACTTCTTATAAAAGAGAGCAAGTCCATTTATCAAACTAAAAGTAGAAGAAAAAGAATTAAAATTACTGTCTTTGTAAAACTTGTGTTAATTATGCATTTGTGGAATTTGTGGGTTAATAATCCATCAAAAAAAAGTTTCGTGCTTGACATTTCGGCAGCACATTTTTTTAGTTTACATAAGAATTGTCATATTGAACGTTAGGTTAGTACCCCACAACGTTAGGTTAGTCAAACCCAGAGCTACCCCGATCCAGCTAGAACACAGTCTCAGCGATGGCAAGTAGATTAAGATAAAGGTATGTCTGCTAACTTAATTCGCCACCAGAATACCCAGCAAGGATGCGGCCTAGCACCCACCTCGCTTATTTGGACATATCTTGATAACCTGACACCCGAAAGTCCTAAGTAAAACCTTCTCTGCTGCATTACTGTTTCTGTGCAATGAAAGACAATCCCGAACATCAAAAAGGAAACTAATATTAATTTTAACACTGTTATATAATGTATCATTTACCATTTGCCTTGCATAATTCTAAACAACCTGTAACACGAATTGTACCACAGTTTCGAGTCCATCCCGATCAGTCTTACCATTCGGTCTCCCTGAGACTCAGGTCTTCCATTGAGAGAATGCTGAGATGGCCCTTGTTTTGCTTCTGGAAATAGATGCAACTCCCCTATCTGTGCACGTCTTCAACAGTTCAGTGGGAAATATAGTTATTCAAATTATCGTTATCCATGTTGTCGCGGCAGAAAGTATATTCCCTCGCGAAGGACATAATGGAGGATACGAGTAAAAATCTATAACTAATTTGCGCTTGAAAATAGGTTTTATTTCATTGGAGGGAATATTTTGTTAACAATTGAAAGCTTAAAAAAGTTCCAAAAACACAAAATGTTTAGGAGAACGAAGAAACGTTCCATGACGAAATTGGTTTGAATTTCAATCATGAAAACTGTTGTGCACTTTCTCAATCCATTGTAAATAATCATGAACGCTTGAGTACAGTTGAAGGTTGATCTGCATTGTGGAAATTATTGGATAAAAACGGGTGTGTATGGACTACGTTTTTTTGTTAAAGAAATTGAGAAATTTTTATATCTAAATTATTTACTTGGGGCAGTAATATTACAGTATTTGAAGGAATAGTGCAAGAAGTAAAGGAACTTAATCGATTTGGCTTATTATTGACTAACTTATTGTTCTTCGATACTGCTGTTATTATCTTTATGTGTTTTCCTTTTCCACATAAGAATCTGCCACTGATGACAAATTGAGATAGAAATCTCTGCAGGGGACTAATTATTTAGACTTCTGAAGATTCCTTTGTGATGAAAATGTACTTCTCCTTTAAACGTCTTGGCTCTTACTACATCCTCTTTCCTCTCTTTCTTTGGTTTACGTCTCTTCCACTCTTATCTTTCTACATTGACGTACAATCCATCCTGATACTTTCTCCCTTGCTTGCTGAGATTCGCAACACAAAGGGCGTGCATTTCACAATATCAGGTTATACAATATGACCAAACTTACAGAGGAAAATACTGGTTATGCCAAATAACCACATTCACAAAAATATCACCTGTCAGATTGAGATAAGCTATGCTTGAGAAATAATCACGGAGAGAACTTTAAAGGACTATGGTTCTTTTATCAAAATCACTCAAACATTCGAAGTAAATTCCAACGGACAGGGGCTGATTTTCTTCACTACAGTCAGAAAATGGTAGCTATGAAGCTCTACCAATATTTCTAGTATCTCCAAAATATCACTTTTTGGACTAAGGTCATTCTTTTTAAAAGCCTTTCAATTCTAGCCAAAAAGGCGCATTTATTTCTGTTTTCAGAATCCAACTTGTATATGGCTTAGGGTAGTGATCACAGAATGCACGTCTCCTCCTCGCACATCACATGCAGGTTTTAACTGTTTTGACGTAAAATAAAGTAAATAAAACAACCAATGTTTCGGTATTAACGACCCAGAATACATGGGTTAAGATTACACAAAGTTTCAAAGGAAGAAATTACTACGAATACGAGCACGATTTAACAACTTTTTCGATATCAAGGACCCCAAAACGAATTTTTCCTTTTAAAAAATCGCCACTTCTAGATGCAGCATTACAATCATTTTTCTTTACTCCTACTTACTACTACCTATGTGAAAGGCGATCCGGTGGCGTGATCGCTAAGGCAGGAGCGCCGTGGCGATCTTGGGCCGAAAGATCGCGGGTTCGGGTCCCGCCTCGGGCATGGTTGTATTTGCGTTCATCCTTTCATCCCACACCAACATCTCCTATCTAACTTCCCTCACTAACAACTTCATTGAGTACGAGTATTCCCTGCAAAAAGCAGGAGGCCCTTGCTCTTAACGGAACCTTAGTTGTCTAATAAAAGAAGTGTGTGAGAAGGGAAAAGCGCATCTTACCTCCCGAAAGAGCCACATGCTGAAGAGCACCTGGAAGAGGTTGTAGAAGACCAACACGTTCTTCAGCTCCAGCGGCTTGCGGTTCTCCATGATGCGCGGCCCCAACACCTTCACGAGGTACACGTAGCTCAGGCAGATGGCGGCCGTGGGGAAGGGCGAGCTCATCAGCGGCCAGTCCTTGGTACGTGGGTCTAAGCAACAACCACAATAGCACATGGCTTACATGCAAATGACAAATTACACGTACATTACATGCTACTAGACGGAGAAAAATGTTGCACAATATAACTAGGGTTATAATAATAATAATACACAGACAGTAAAAGTAAACATGCACAGATATACATTATACATAAAATTAACCAGTTACACAATTTTTAAAAAATAGAAACACAACATGGATTTTTAAAGTTAGTTCTTGACACATTTAGATTTGTTCCCCACCCACCCTCTCACTTCATTTCACTCGACTCGACTCGACTTCACTCGACTCGACTCGACTCGACTCGACTTCACTCGACTCGACTCGACT